ATTCTCATAAAAAATACATGGTGGTTTATGACAACTTTAAGTAATTTTGTAAATTCTGTAGATATAAATTTACAAGGTTTGACAAACTGAACTTGACTACTTTTTTACTCTCTTTTCAATACACTATCCTGTTTTTCTGGGGCATATGATTACAAAGTTAGAATTACATCTACAGTATATGAAAATTTTAAATATTATCAGTTCATAAAAAACGCAATTCAATTTTACGCTGGTTGTTTGTAAATATTAAAAATAGTATTAGAAATGACCAAGATAGAGCCATTTATAATTTCTGCCAAGTATAACAAAATTACTGAAAATTACGTATAGTTTAGACATACAAACTAATTTATTTTCTATGTTTTTAGTGAATTTTCAAACTTATATAACTTATGACCAGCGTCATTTTAAAAAATGAATTTATATACAAAATTGTCGTCCATTCATCTGGCTGCAAGAATATGATCACTAGATTACTGTGCGATTATCCAGTCAAAAGATATAATCGAAAAACCACTGTATAATAGTTATGCCGAGGTATTATATACGGTAAATGATAACATGAGAATTTTAAATTAATGACCGTATACCGGTATACTGTAATAAAATTATAACTCACAGTAGTGTTCAATATTTTATTATAGTAAATCATTCAAATCTAAGCAAATGCTTTTTTCCAGTTATTTTTAAAGTCAACCACTCGTTGGAACTGTTGATCGTAACTTTGATTCTTAGAGTTAAGCCATTTGTTTGGTTCAATGTCTAGAAGTCCGGCAATCACTTCCTGGCAATGATCACAAATATACAGTAGAGTAAGACATGCATCGATTCAAATGATTGATAATTACTTTTCCAAAGTGTCGTGAAAATGANTGATTGATAATTACTTTTCCAAAGTGTCGTGAAAATGAGTCCTCGTTTTCAATAACGTGAGCGAAACCTATATTTTTGGGTCCGAAGGTAACCCAAAAATAAGACAGACCTTTAGGTATCTATAAATGAAAGCATTAGAATCATTAGTCTTATGAATGATGTGAATGAAAGTGAAATCAATACCAATCTAGTGATGGGTTTGTCTTTGATTTCAATGAGTTGTTTATTGAGAGCCCATTCACTCTCGCACTCCATAATAGCTTTCTATGCAATATTAAATACATTGTAATCAATCGCTATACCAATACAACCAGTGATACTGTGCTTACTTTGAAGAAGATTTTGGCTTCACTTTCATATTTGCTTTTAATAGGAATGCATTCAACAGTCAAATGTCTGTTTGTGTGACTTCTCTTCAAATAAGTCTCCATAAAGACAACACTCTTATTGTGGCGTTTGTCGAAGTATTTACAGATTTCATGCTTTCGTTCATTCATTTCAAGCAAACACTCCTCATCTGCACTAATGGTTGACATATTTGAGTGACTTTTGCTTAATATATGACAAAATCCGGAGACAAACGGCTCAAAAGGGGTCAAACATATCAATGTCTTTTCGCCATTCGCTACAATCAGTTGTCTCTCTATATTGTGTACACATTGTCTGCAATTGTCTTTGCCTTCACTCTCGTGTCTCATATAAGGCATGGATTCGTTTTTTCGTCTCTTATTCTTCGTCCGCATGTCTTCGTACTCCTCTTCGGGATAACGACTCACTCGCGAAGTGCTCGCAACGTATCTCTTAGTCTCGTCATCAGTGGTCGACTGTTTTGCTCTCAAATACATTCCATGAGTTGCTCTTCAATCTCGACAAATGGCACACAAATTGTTTTATTGAATAAACTCTTATCCAAACACGTCATGCCTTTCACTGATTCTGGTGGTGATAAGCATCCAGTTGTCAGCGTTGACATCCTCACAGTCAAAGACATTATCATTGAGTGCTTTCCAAAACACTTCCAAAACAGCTATTATACAAATAAGACACCAGTCATTGCAACTCAAACCACCATGCTCACCATACACTATGACTATTGGTCACCAGTTAAGCAAAGTATGATATGTGCTGTACTTACCATACAATTCAATATCATCGGTCACTACCACTTTCACTATCACTGTCACCACTGCCACCGGACAACACGTGTTAGATCTACTGTAATATTGATGTAATGTTTGCGCATATGTTTGACAAACACACCGCTTGACTGCTTGAACACTATTTGAACACTATTTGAACACCTTTGCAATGAATGGTGAACTAATGCAAAAGTAGGGAACGACGGTTGGGCGGGCGCGTGAGTAATACGTCCATATGACCGCCCGCCCGCCTGCCCCCAATATGCCCAAAAAAATTAGAGGGGCTAAGCACTTCTCTCATATATTACGTCCAGTGATAAGGGATGAAAAGGGGAACAATTATTATTATTTGCAGACATATAGTATTTGTTGCACATTGGGCGCGACTTTACCAGACATTTTGTTAAATCTAGTAAAATACAGAATATTTTGTGGTTGTTTTTTAAACTAATTAGATGTTAGTAGTAAGGATAAATGTTTTGTAAAAGACTAACTTTTGATATAACTTATAATTAATTAGAATTGGTTAGTCAATTAAGTTTTAATGTTAAAAACTTGGCGGGAGGGCACGTCTCGAATACGCCGGGCATGCCCTGTGCGCGCCAAAGTACGCCTTGGAAGGCGTGGGCGGATGTCGTTCTCTAGTGATGACTGAATTGATGGTCAACTGTATTGATAACTGAGTTTGTGTTAAGTGTATGTAAGAGTGGTTAACAATAACTGACAACAAGTGGACTGAGTGTTGACATTGGATGTGATTTGTGGTGAAATGAGTGTCACTTTTGTTGGGTTCATATGATATGATGGACGCAATGATGGCTACCATTGACTTCTCGATGGACTCGAGGGTGAAGAAGAGTTATGTACCACTTGTCTCACAACAGGTTTGTCTCATTTGACACGATATGCCATTTGATGTAATAATGAATGATTGTCTCAATTGTAGTGTCATTTACGGCATATTCAACGCATTGCCGCCAGAAATATAAGACTTACAGTTACTCCACAAGAACCACACGAACTGAATGGCAAATCAAGTGATAGTGACATTGGATTCTGGTTTTCATTCGTTAACACTAACGAAGAAGTTGTCTACGAAAGTGAAACCATTTTCAGTTTGGTTGAGTATCACCTCAATTGATGCCTTTTATGATAACTAAGTGACATTTAATGGTTCCATTGATAGGCTCCCGAATGGAAGTGTCTGGAAAGCTGTTCCTTAAGACATTCAACTATCAATGAATTGATTGTAAGGCTCTATTATAGCCATACAATGAACACAGACTTGTGTGCAGACAAGACCTGTCAGGTGTCTGTGGATCAACTGCTTCTTGAGTGGAGAATCCATTTGAATGGTTTGGTATTCATTGGCGAAGAGATACCGAAAGATAAGAGATTCAAAGACAATACCATTATATTGGGTCTAATGGAAGGCTTTTATACGAGCCTCGACTCCATAGCCAGCGATGAGTTACGCAATCACTTATGTCTTCGGCAGCAAACGATGACAGTGTTAGACGTAACCACTTTAAGACACTCTTACTGTCTGAATGTGTTGTATAGGATAGAAATGATGCAGAGAGTGATCACACAAACACTGATTCTTGTGACCAACAGTCGCAACAAATTGGAGCAAATGTTGACACAAATGCTGGACACGAGTGAACTGAAGTCGAGGGTCGAGTTAATGGAAGTGCGAGTGAAGAGTCTGGAGGAGCAGTTAGTTTGGGCCAAACATAGGCTCAGCACTTGTCGGGACATCAAAGCCAAGAATGAGAGCGAGATTTGCGAGAAAGGGATCGATATGTTGAACAAAATCCAGACTTTGAAGCAACAGAAGGAGAAAATGATAGCCAAGAGAGAGAAGTTGGATGAGACCAGAGATAAGGCACTGAAATGCAGGGCTCAGCTCAGTCTAAGACGCAAACAACTCATGTCTGATATTTGCAATATATATCCGGTGGTGCCCTTCCCTGACGGAAACGGAGGTTTCTCTATATGTGGCGTACATTTGCCCGATTCGGAGCACTTGGATGGACACGACGACACCATGATATCCATTGCCATCGGATATGTGACACATATATTAGTGATGATATCGCGCTTATTAGACGTAACGCTGAGGTATCACATGATATACTTTGGTTCCCGTTCTTCGATTGTCGACCACTTGAACGACAAACTCAGTGAAAACGACCGCATCTTTGCATTGCATTCAAAGAATTCAAAAGACAGACTTCACTTCAAATATGGAGTGTTTCTTATGAACAAAAATATCGCTCAATTGAGACATTATTTGGGTCTTCAGACCAAGGATTTGAGTGCAACGCTTCCTAATCTCTACACTTTGTTTAACGACAAACTGGTTCTCCTTAATAAAGAGTCAATTAATGCTTCCAATTGTGACCATTTTGGACACATCGATGACTATTTGCGTCGAGAACTGGAAGTCATGCGGAACCACAACGACCCTCAAGAGGCCGGCCCTTCAAAAGCAAATGCAATTCGTTTAAGAAATTTGTCGAATGTTTGCAACAATTCGGTTAGAATTAAGAGCGAAAACCGAAACATTAGTCGTTCTCTCGATAAAGGCTTAAACGAAATGGTGGTCAACACCAACACCAACACCAACACCAACACCGCCTCCAAGTCTACCAATGATTCCCACGAATCCGTTTCATCACTTTCATCTGACATTCATTACAATTCAATTGCCAAACATTTACTCAATTCTAAGCAAATGCATCATAACTTTAGTGAATCTGATTTCAAGCATTTGATCGAAAGAAAGAGATTTCAAGAATTAGACAAAAATCAAAAGAAATGTTGCGAAGGATGTGACGAGCAATTGACTAATGGCTTGAATGTGAACCGCGCCTCCAGTTCCGACAGCTCTCCTCAAACTTACTTTTGGAGCCAATCTGACACTCATTTCAAACATTTAGACTATAATTCCGGCAAAAGTTAACTACAATTATATTCCAAATTTAATATTTATTTTATCGTTCACTAGTTTTTATCAATCCTTGTGTGCTATCATACAATAGACCAGAACCGGTATTGTACTTTAAGTCATAGCACTGTACTGTACTTCATATTGTTTGCATTATTTATTATAGTTTTGTTCAATTTAATAATTCAGTAATTAATATTCAAATAAAATATACAGTATCTACATTGCAACCTGCAAATACAAAGTTTTATTGATTAGTTCAACGAATTGTAATAATTAATGAGGTGTTTTAGGCTTTCCACTGGTACTGTATCTTATACTGTATAAATCTGACACAATATTCCCAATCAATGAGATGGTTAGACATAAATTGGTGGCTTTATCAAGATCTATGAAGTGATGCATTGATTCATTTGGAGGGAACCATTGAATCACTGTTTTGATAATACAGTAGCAAAACATACTTTTAAATATTTACACTTACGGTATATGTAATAATGTCATAACCATTCATATGAATCATACGAATAATGAATTAACAAATGAATCGGTTGCAACAATCACAATCACAATCACATGTACGCGAATATAATTATCCATTTTAAGTCCAAAAGAAATGTGATCACATGAATTTAAATTATTTCTTATAATTGATACCGGTACAAGTATTAAACTATCGTAATACCGTATTACGGTAATACTGTATACAATGGTCAAGTGATATCAATTGCAATTGCAATTGCATTTAATATCAAACTAAATTTATGAATCAAATTATAGTTATATATGAATACAGAAATGACTAACAATCATAACAATCGTGTTTTAGATAACTATTAGTCTAATATAACAACTATTACTACAACTATGACTGTTATTACAGTTACAGTCACTACTGTTATATGAGTTAACTGTAACCGTAACCAGAGTTGCAATCACACCATCAGTCCCACCGGTGAGTGAGTCCGGGTTTGGGTGCTTTCGTATGACTGGTGGACAGGGAGTTGTTAGCGTCTTCTCCATCTCCTGCATGTCCAGCACTCAGCTCTTTACTCGTACTCATCACCACCTGAACGGGTGGCTCAACCAGGCGTCGGGCATCACGAGTGTAGTAGTGGTTAGCACTTGTCTTATGGGAGGGTCCGCCAGGCAGTTCTGGTTGAGGACTAGGCCTGTAAATGCATGCACAGTGACATGATCATCATCACCACCATGGTCATATTGAAGCATACAGACCTGGGTGACAGGTGCTGAGGTATACGCAACTGTTCATTCCATGAGCGCTACCATCGGATGATAAACAGTGTTAGTATTGACACAATTGGCATATCATATGATGGGTTACCCCTCTCAAGAAGGCGCGAATCATCTGAATAACAGGTCCGACATCTCTATGATATGATGCACTCATAGCTGTGTAATGAATGGTCAGTCACTGTGTGGTCACTGCAATGAACCACTCGTTCACTCATTCACTCAATTCAAGCCAAACTGAATGCAATAATAACTCACTGTTGCTGTCATAGAGTCAGTACATGGATGATGGGGAGGGAGTGTGTGTTTGTGTGTAACGGTATGTATGTATGGTCTGTGATATGACATGTTATTTGATGTGGTCAATGATGTGGTCAAATATGTGGTGAAATGTCGCGACACTTGTATTCTTCGAGTTCTGTGGCCGGAGATGATAGCAAACAGTGGTCTCATCTCATTGACAAGAATTGCTCACAAAATACACGAATAAATCGCAAATTGAATGAAAAGAGAGACAAAGAGTTGATTGAAGAGAAGATAAGAGGAGAACGAGAGCTGAATCGATATGTGTTGACCACTGACCATAAGTCTGCCATTGAATCTCAAGACAGACTATCAGGTGATGGCAGTAGTGACGGGACAAGTGTGAAGAAGTGGTCGACTGGTGGCTCACTGTCTGAACGCAATGCTATAAATGCAAGACTTCTTAAAGCGGAACTCATGGGAAACGATGGACTCGTTTGTGAACTGAAAGCAAAACTCAAACAATTGGATGAAAGTGGAAGTGATTGTGAAAGGGATGTCACCGAACAGTCAACTGAGCGCTTGTATTCTGTGGAGAAGAGGGCCAACGAAGAGTCGATGTCTTTGAAGGAAATGTATTTGAGAGCAAAACAGTCGACCACTGATGACGAGACTAAGAGATACGTTGCGAGCACTTCGCGAGTGAGTCGTTATCCCGAAGAGGAGTACGAAGACATGCGGACGAAGAATAAGAGACGAAAACACGAATCCATGCCTTATATGAGACACGAGAGTGAAGGCAAAGACAATTGCAGACAATGTGTGCACAATATAGAGAGACAACTGATTGTAGTGAATGGCGAGAAGACATTGATATGTTTGACCCCTTTTGAGCCGTTTGTCTCCGGATTTTGTCATATTTTAAGCAAAAGTCACTCAAATATGTCGACCATTAGTGCAGATGAGGAGTGTTTGCTTGAAATGAATGAACGAAAGCATGAAATCTGTAAATACTTCGACAAACGCCACAATAAGAGTGTTGTCTTTATGGAGACTTATATGAAGAGAAGTCACACAAACAGACATTTGACTGTTGAATGCATTCCTATTAAAAGCAAATATGAAAGTGAAGCCAAAATCTTCTTCAAAGTAAGCACAGTATCACCGGTTGTATTGGTATAGCGATTGATTACAATGTATTGAATATTCCATAGAAAGCTATTATGGAGTGCGAGAGTGAATGGGCTCTCAATAAACAACTCATTGAAATCAAAGACAAACCCATCACTAGATTGGTATTCATTTCACTTTCATTCACATCATTCATAATACTAATGATTCTAATGCTTTAATTTATAGATACCTAAAGGTCTGTCTTATTTTTGGGTTACCTTCGGACCCAAAAATATAGGTTTCGCTCACGTTATTGAAAACGAGGACTCATTTTCACGACACTTTGGAAAAGTAATTATCAATCATTTGAATCGATGCATATCTTACTCTACTGTATATTTGTGATCATTGCCAGGAAGTGATTGCCGGACTTCTAGACATTGAACCAAACAAATGGCTTAACTCTAAGAATCAAAGTTACGATCAACAGTTCCAACGAGTGGTTGACTTTAAAAATAACTGGAAAAAAGCATTTGCTTAGATTTGAATGATTTACTATAATAAAATATTGAACACTACTGTGAGTTATCATTTATTACAGTATACCGGTATACGGTCATTAATTTAAAATTCTCATGTTATCATTTACCGTATATAATACCTCGGCACAACTATTATACAGTGGTTTTTCGGTTATATCTTTTGACTGGATAATCGCACAGTAATCTAGTGATCATATTCTTGTAGCCAGATGAATGGACGACAATTTGGTATATAAATTCATTTTTTAAAATGACGCTGGTCATAAGTTATATAAGTTTGAAAATTCACTAAAAACATAGAAAATAAATTAGTTTGTATGTCGAAACTATACGTAATTTTCAGTAATTTTGTTATACTTGGCAGAAATTATAAATGGCTCTATCTTGGTCATTTCTAATACTATTTTTAATATTTAAAAACAACCAGCGTAAAATTGAATTGCGTTTTTTATGAACTGATAATATTTAAAATTTTCATATACTGTAAATGTAATTCTAACTTTGTAATCATATGCCCCAGAAAAACAGAATAGTGTATTGAAAAGAGAGTAAAAAAGTAGTCAAGTTCAGTTTGTCAAACCTTGTAAATTTATATCTACAGAATTTACAAAATTACTTAAAGTTGTCATAAACCACCATGTATTTTTTATGAGAATTTTAGTATAATTTTCAAACTTAAATAACTTATGACCATGGTCACTTTAAAAATAAATAACTATACCTAATTGTCGTCCATGCATATGGCTATAAGAATATAATCACTAGATTTCTGTGCGAATAGCTGTCAAAAGATATAATCGAAAAACCACTGTATAATAGTTATGCTGAAGCATGTATAAATTATACAGTATTATCAAATTGATTAAATTGATTGAGCAATGTTTCAAAACTATTTAACGCTTAACATGACATGTATGGTTCAAAATTGATTTTATATTATTATTCCTGTAACTTTCAATTACAATGATATACAATTTGCCATATGGACCTACCTGGGTTATATTAAATAATCGATTTAATAAATAACTTTTCAAGTTTTTAGCAACTTTATTAACTTTTTAATAACTATTTAATGATTTTTGTATTTTTATACAAAAAAGTCAATGAATTGTAAATAATTCATTGATATACTGTAAAAACAAACTACAATTTGTTAGAAAAATATTGAAAAACTGTCGAACAAATTATAAACCTATCTATTTATTAATCTGGAAATAGATTTGTAAGTCCTCAAGAGTTGGATTGTTTTAAGTATTCTATAGTCAACTAACTAATTGTGATATTGATTGGAGTTTTTCGGCTTATAAATTAATTTGAAGTGATGGGCGACTCAATATGAGTGAACAGAATCTCTCGAAATACCTTTTTATTAAATATAACTCAAAAAATCAAATAATTTGTATGATTTTTGCGGAAAAATAAATAACTTTTAAGTACATGTAACTATTTGACAGTTTTTTAGTAACTTTTTTAGTGACTATCAAGGTTGTTTTTACCACCTTTGGATCCAGTCTACACATTACTGTAACACACAGTATGTAGCACAGTACAGTATGTGCTACAATAATAATTACTACAATTATTGTAGTACAATTACAGCTTGAAATGTATTTTCTAGAGTTTATTCTGCACCGACCTACTGTATCCACATGACGTCAATTTCCATTCATTGAACTGTAAATGACTACAATCCGTATTAAAACTACCGCCAAACTTTTCAAGATTATTTTGTTCCTAAAATCAATAATAATAATACAGAATCATATAAAATTTCAAACATTATAAATATATGTATACTTTATTATTATCGTGTAATATTAATCATTATAAAATATAATGTGACATACAGATAATTATATAAATCGACAAATACAATACAATACTGTAGTTATCAACCTATAATAATTCTAACATGAAGTTCTCAATAATATTCTGTAGCTTAACAAAAGTTTTTATCATTCATGAAATAGTAATACAGTAATATGATAGTGTTTCCATTAAGTCTAACCTATTTTGGACAATCATTTATTTGAGAACATAATCAATTATGAAATATCTATATTTTTATTTATTTTTAATCAATTATAGTACCGGTAATAAGAAGTTAGATATCAATAATGTTAGACATCTAACTAAAATAATGTTTAATTACTATAAGGTTACTTAAGTTACTAATTTTCTATAATGGACTACAATTCTCTTTCTACATCTACCGTATAATATCACTAACTTATAAGACTTATCGTTAGAGTAAGTAATAAAAAGTGCTATACTTTAAATTATTTACTACCTTTTATACAGTATAATATTCCTGTATTATATAATATTTTCATATTATTTATGGTATGAATTTCATTTTTAAATAATAGTGTTATCTGTTAACTTATTCTTATATATATATCAGTATATATATATATATATCATTTCAGTATATTTCAGACATCAGACGAGAGAGAGAGAGAGAGAGAGAGAGAGAGAGAGAGAGAGATGGTTAGTGAGAATCCAATGATAAAGTAATTCATTCTCTTTTGTTGACTTTCCAGAGAAGGACGACATAAGTGATGACTCGCATGACAATGAAGAATACGGTCAGTATAATGGAGTTCCAAATGAGACTCTCATCGCTCACTTCAAACTGAGACATTACTATCGACTGGTAGTCTTCTTCAGTATTGGAGCCGAACTGTCCGCTCAGGTTATCCAAAAGGGTTTGAATGAAATTTTCTTTATTTCCCTCTCCATCAGCACCGGTATCAGAATTGGGGGCCAATATTTGCGTCAAGTAGTCTAACCATTCAGGCTTAGTGTTGGTGAGATTAGCTAAACTGGGATCCCATTGGCATCGGTCGTAGCCATAGAGGACGGCTATGTATGCCTCGAAAGAATATCTCAAGTATGAGATGTAAGTGAGGGGTCGGAAATAGGCCGGAATGGTAGAGATCCTGACGAAGAATCCGGCGAAAAGCATAAGAGGAATGCAAGTAATGGGTCCTAAAAATACAGCAGCGCTCGCGTCCTCCATAAATATAGCACCGATTAGGAGGCCTTGACTTTGGGCTATCAGTGCGATTGCGATCGATATGATCGAAAAGCCAGTGAACCTAACGTACGAGTGGTCCTGTCCTGTCATGTAATAACTTATTGTCGTGAAAGTCGTCGGAAATATAAACTAAAGGAGTAAACATTTAAATCATTATAACCATTAATGTATATATTTGAAGTTCCAGATTATTAATTATATTATATTAGTAACTTAATAATATTTTGTCTGAAATGACTATATTTGTAATTATTTCTAAATTAATGTGTATGTGTCAACTTGTCACTGGCAAGAATATAAGACTAACATGAAATGTTTGCTTGCTTAAGTTAGCTTGCTATACAGTATACAGTACTTTGTAAATATGATAAAAATAAATGACAAGTGAGTTGAGTCTAAAACGAATATAAGAGATCTAGAGATCTATTGATATTTGTGACCAAAACATACCAATAGAAGAATATAATTACAAAAGAAATAAGTCTAAGTACTGTACTTGAAAGGGCATATCTGCCAATGTCTTAGCCAGGTAGTATGTGGCACAACTGTACCAACCGTTAGTCCTTTCCTTGCGAAACACTTGCATATCCATAGGGAATGTCATAATGGTTGGCATCATTGCCCCAAACATGATAAACATAAGCGTAAAGAAAACAAAGGCCACGTTTTCGGTGATAGTAATGGTCTCCTTCTCATACTTCTCGCGGAATTCCGCGAAGTGTTCCAAATCATTGAGTGGAGACACTTGTGGAGGACAACCACCCGGTTGTCCGATAGCGTCTCCATAGAGAAGGCCAATGAAGACCGCAGTAATCAAATGCGAGACAAACCTTAATGATGTCAACATTGGGTCCCGAAGAATGACTAGAAGTGAACGATAAAACAAAAGCCAAGTGTGAAGGACTACCGGATAGGACTGAGTCTGTGATATCTGAGCTAATGTCAGACTTTTGGGTCCAGTAATAGCAGGGATGAGAGAGTCGGCCTGTTTTTTCTGTGCCGCCAGTTTAACAATGCCTTCGTGTCCGTACTCTCCAGAAGCAACTTCTGCTATAAAATCTGCCGGATTGTGGAATTGGGGACAATTGAGGCCAACATTTGCCAATTGCGGAATCAGTTCCGTAGGCGAGCCCTGAAATATGCACTGACCGTCAAATGATATGACATACACGTGATGAAACAGATTGAACACCCGGGCCGATGGCTGATGTATTGTGGCCACCACTGCGATCGGGTTCTTCGACTGCATTTGTTGTGTCAAGTCTTGCATTACAGACACAGTTTGATAGCACGCAGAGCTGTCCAAACCAGAAGTCGGTTCATCGAGTATTAAGATATTGGGTCTAATGATAGATAATATAATAATGGCAACAATTAAAACAATTATTAATTGCAATTATTTGTGAATAACTTTGAAATCAATTCCAATGCAATTGAAAGTCGTTTGCGTTGTCCACCGGAACAGTTGCCACTCTTGGTGTCAGCGCACACTTCAAGTCCTAACTGTTTGATCACATGTCTGGCCAGCATATCATGATATGAAGACGAATCTTTGCTTTCATTTTCCGCATAATTCTCTTCAACCACCACTTCTTCCAAGTCTTTATTTTCGATGTGTTTATAATTTTTGAGTTTTGATGCAAAAAGAAGTGCCTCTTTCACAGTCAACTGATTTAATGGAATATACAAAAGTGATATCACATTAACGAATGCTCACTGTAAGAATAATAACCTAGGTCCTAGGTACTGACTCAGGTTTAATATTCACTTTTCAAGTAATAAGAAATCCTAATGACTACATTCATTAAACCTTAACATAAATATCAACACTATACAATTAAAATCTGAATGATTTAAATATAATCTTAAAATTCTGATTATACATGTACTGCATAAACTGAACTGGTACATTATATGAATGACCACTACTTGCCTGATTCAACAAATTATCGTTTTGTGCAATCAATCCTATTTTAATACGACTGCTGCCAGTGATGCGGACGTCACCCGTGAGTCCTTTCTTTCGAAATCCTGAAACACACTCCAAAAGCGTTGACTTCCCGGCGCCCGACGGACCCATAATAGCCGTTAGATTTCCGCTCCGAAAATGTCCCGAAAGACCCTTCAGAATGGTTCGACTCTTATTGTCTTTGCGGAAAGTGTTGAGCAAAGGATTCTTCTGCACAGTATAGACGAGGTTACGCCACGAAACCTCTATAGTGTTACCATTTGACACCCGTTCCCCATTCATATTCCCATTCCCATTCATATTGCTCTTTGTGTTTAAATTAGTCAATGAATTCACATTCAATTCATTTGCATTTAACTCTTGATATGAGTTATGGTTTGCCATCCTTTCGGACGACTGAATCGATTCTATTCGCACAGAATTCGAGTCATTCATTGCTTTTCAAATGAGTTCTAATAGTTTTAATGCATTTATCAAATAATATTTCAAAACTCAATATTTTTAAAACAAATAAAAAATTTTCTGAGAACTGTTTTGAACTTCAAATTATAATAATACATATAATTATTATAATTTTTAAAATGATTTTTTCTTATACCAGTATGAATTCATTTCAATGTCAAACATAGGCTTTCGTGCCAAGCATTGTGGTATTGCGGTATAGTACTCACAATGCAAATACAATTATTACCTGTACAGTATATTTATCTAAAATAAAAACTTATTTTCAGATAAATAATTAGAATTCTATAGAAAAATAATTTAATGGTATTTCTTGATTTTATTCGACTTAAGCATGAAATGTATCGTTAAGGTTATCATCAAATCAATAGATATATACTGTGGCACAACACATACAGCATATTAGTGTGCAGTATTGTACAGTATATTCCAAAATACAGAATACATTTCAAAAATAATTGCACTTCAATAATAAATTAAATTTTCATATACTTATAATAAATGGTTTTGAAAAATATTGATTTAACAATAATTCAAATAAAACATTATTATATTCTAAAATAATCTTAAATTTGTCTACATTTAACAAATAAGATATTGATTTAAGATTTTATAATTTATAAATGCGGTATTAATACTGTGCAGTACAATACTGTAATAGCATTATACATAATGTCATCGAGTTTTTAATAATTATTTATACCGTAAGTGATGTCTAATATTACAGTCACTGTAATACAATGATTAATAAAAGTTACAATAAATGCTAGATTTACAGATATTATTACCGTATATTATCTGTATGTACGGTATGTATGATTAAACCTTATTACTGAAGTAATCAATCTTTTGAGACCCGGATTCAATCCGACATTTTAGGCCTCAATCCGAACCTAAATAAATAGTCCACTTTTTCGCGTGGCTTTAGGGTCTCACCCGGATATTGACATTAAGATTCATAGCTACAATATACTGTACAGTACTGTAGACTACAGTATACATCTCAACATTTTACAAACTTTTTCTACCGGTATATACAAATAAGATATATTTTTATTTTTCTTAACGTATATAAAATTATTATAAATAAAAACAACAATTTAAAAATAAATTAAATTAATTGCCTGAACCTATAGATAAGAGAGCATTTTGAACATAAAGATAATATTTTGAATTTAACTCAAATTTAGTTGAGATTTCTTCTAATTTTTTCCGATCTCTTGCTTTAATTAAAGGCTAAAAACAAATATGATATCAATTAAAGAGTTTCAAATAAAATAAAGTATAAACGCATACATCAATCGCTAATTCCAAATGCTTCATCTCTTTGGCTAAATTGAATTTAGTGTCCAAGTTATCGATAGTCTGTAGATATTTGTTCAACACCTCCAGTGGGGCCCCATTTCTGTGTAATAATAACACCACTTTGTCGAACCCAATACAACATTTGAGGCGTTTGTTACCTAACCATGACTTGAATCCACAACAATAATTATTACTATATTATCACCGTAATACCAATACTATGGTATATATTACAGTATATACTATATAGTATACAATGGTATTGAATGGCAAATCTTACTTTGTATTCAAAGAGAGTATCGATTTGAAGCCATTGGCGAGTTTGAGCCAAAGCTGAGAGAGCGGTCCAAACAAATTGTTGATCACTTAAGTAAAAGGCTTTGCAAATAGCTTTAGGACTCGCCAAATGATTTTCAGACAAACAGTAGTGAAATAGACAGCAATAGTATAGTGTGGAAAGGACTGGTAAATCAATTAAAGGCGTTCTCTGGGTTTGTGTGAAGAGTTGGTTGTGTCCCTCCCGTTCCTGTCGCCGGTCGTCACTCTCAATGGGCAACTGTAGCTCCAGAAGTGAGATCTGCTCTGAAATATAGTTATTCCAAAAAATACAATCATTGCCTCCACTTGTGAAATGGTTTCGCAAACAACTCTTCAAATTATGCACTTTTGTGTCAATGTCTCGACAGGCGATGGCCTGAGAGTATGCAGTGATAGCCGCTTCTTCGTGGCGGCCCAACATCGACAGTGTGTCCACCAATTCAGTCATTCTTTTGTTTTGCCGCAAATAAAAGAGATAGTGATCTGCGGCTAAACTCCTGCGGCTTAACTCATAATTAAATATCGAGTCCTTCGTTGTCCTCTTGAGATGCAATACCACACTAATGATGGCATTGCCTTCGTTTGTGTGCAGCGCTGTGTCCAAGAGTTCCAGTTTGTCTTCTTTGCCTTTATATTCATGCAAATCAATGTCAATCCCTTTGGACAACGAATTGATGACATGTTGTGGCGACCGTTTGCTCCCAACACTTGTCTCTTGGCTTTTCATGTGTTGTAAGCACTCGTCGATCTGCGCGGAGACCACACTTTCGGCCAGTCCTTCATCTGCCAACACAATAGCCATTCATTATCTGCTGCAGACATCACCAACAATGCCAAACATACCTAAACTCTGGGCCACACGTGCACCACTTGAAGCACTTCCACTTAGACCTAACACTTCATCGATGGTGGCCTCACTTGATTCGCTGCCAACTACGCTACTGGACTCCTGAGGTGATCAGTGATCACAAATCAAGCAATCAATACACATTGAGTGACAATCACATCAACACATACTACAAGAGTTTGGTCATCGAAATCAAAGCGATAAGCCTTGGTTTGGGTCCAGTAGTCTTCATCCACATCATTGCTGATCCTATAAGTGGTCATCAGATGTGTTGATAAGCATATGATAGCATTGATAGCATTGATAGTGTCAATGAATACCAGTTAGAGTTGTTCGTCATGTTGAGCACCGGGTCATCAATGGCTCAAACAGGTGTCAATGCAATTTGGTTACAGTTAGTGTTACTATTTCATACTGTAGTGTTATCGAATAAATTGGTGTTAAATGTAGTGTACTGTCTCAAATAAATATACTGTACGCCACACAACAACAACAAACTGACATATGCTGTAAATACTGCACACGTGACCACACATACACCCACTGCCACACCACTAAACACATTGATTGACTGTCAATTTGACAGTCATTTACTTAACTACTTACATGTATTACTGGTGTAATGACTAGTCTATTGAATACTACTGTACAGTATACAACTATTTTATTTCTAAAAATAAGTTTTAATTGACAGTGAATATAAATATTGACTTGGATATTACAGTTATACAGTAATAATACTGTACTGTATTATATTATAACGTAATACAGTTACCTTGGACATAGAGATTACAATAGTAAGATTATAATTAAAATAGTAATTATAATAGTAATCAGTGGTTAATGTATACAGTATTTTAGAAAAACACTAATACAGTAGTCTCACTCTGACTCACTTGTCAATACAGTTTCATACGATTGATGCCATTAATGAGTGATTGAGTATTGTTTGTATTGAGTATCAAATTAGTGAATGTATTGCTATTCATATTGAATATTGATTACTGTTATTGTAAATGACTGCCAGTACTGTCAGTCAATTCAATTGAATTACCATTTGTAATCATATGTAAAATAGAGTATATCATAACTTACATAACTATATGTGTCATATGATATGATACTACAACTATAGTATAGTATACAATCATATAGTGATACACAAGTGATATATTGAATGAATAGAGTTGACGGTCACTGAAGAGATTGATCCGAAAGGAAAGGAGGGATGAGTTCATCGAAACGCTTCGAAGACCTCAAAGACGAGTTGAGTTCAGTTGAGGAGAGGATTAGAGTTCAAGGAAGACATCAACTAAGTATGTATTATATTGAGTGACTGTTTTGTGGTGACTGTACCCTCGATGACACAACAGATGAGTGGACACTGAACCGGATGTGCAGTGAAGGCGATGCCATAGTGGAGCTCATGAGACGGGAAGTGGAATCGACACCAACTGTGGTTCAGAAGGAAATGCACTGCAATTGGAGTGAAGTGTCGAAGAGTTGGAATGCATTCAAAGGCGATGTGCGGAACAGGTGTGCGAGCGATGAGACGTTGACCACCGATGACAACCTGAGGCGAGGCATTGGTATTATAGAGCGAACTAATGATAGCGTATTGAGGGCTCAAATGGTTTCCCGAGAGAGTGAGTCCATCGGACACGAAGTGATCTCAGAACTGACTGAACAAAGAGAATCACTTGTGAGGACTCGCGACCGACTCGACGGAACCAATGATGACCTCAAGAAGACTAGAGTTTTGTTGAGATCCATAAATAGACGCCTTCTGACCAACAAATGTTTGCTAATATTTATTGTCATAATTGAAGTGTTCATTCTTCTAATTATAGTTTACTATCGATTCATTAAAAAGTAACACAACTTTGTTCGAGTATTTCCTAAAACACTAAAATGACTAATTTCTAATAAATATTTACAAGTTTGCGAGCATTTGATTGATTGCATAGAACTGTGAATCGCGATCATTGCGGTCACTATTGAGACGACAGGCAAATACTCGAGACTTGCGGTCAACACATATATAATTATGCCATCGAAGCGATCGAAACCGATAATAGGCTGCCCTATGGGGCGGCAAAGGCTCCATAACCCATGCACACTGTCGGGTGCGAGTCTTTGATCTAAGTCTCAAGTGTTTACCGTCTTTGGTCATACAAATGAGTTGATACGCCCCTATAGAGGGCTGGGATGTGGTGGTAGTGGTGTTGGTGATGAGTTGAACTAAACGCGTCCTCTTATCTAAACGCTTAAATGATACCAATTTTGCACTCATTGTACCACAACTTAAATGTTTAGACACTATGAGTTGGTTGTTGCCTAACACGCAAAGTAGGCCATTGTGTCGACTCATTATGGCATTGGACTGTAATTCGGGTGCTTTGACTGCAAAACGCAAACCAATTGCAAAGACATGGGTTATTGAATAAGTTTGACAAATACCTGATAGTAAATGCAATGAATCGTTCAATTGAATCAAAATGATTATAATTATCATTATTATTACTTGAAACATATTTTTTCACACAAACATTTTTGAGCAATGCTTTAGAAAATCTTACACTTTAAATGAGATTATTGTTAAAATTGATTTTTATTACTGCACTATGCGTTCAAAAGGCAATTGGAGATGAAATTCAATTCAGTGCTATTAGTGGTAAGACTGGAGCCAAACGTGCATTGTTTTGATGAATACATGAATGATATATGAGATGACGAGCTATCAATTACTGGGTCCACGCGCTCCACAGCAGTGCGGCGTCGACTGTCGACTCGCGTATCAAATGAACAACTGCTGCATCAGATTGTGTTTAATCTTTCCACACATTTCTACTGATTTGTTTGGTCTGATGGGAGAGAACCTAACAGTTATTCAATGATTCCAGTTATTCGAGTCACCAATCAATACCTGTTCATAAATGCTCGCAAGACCTGCTTTTGTTGGCCACTCAGGTGTCCGAGAGAGTGGGTTAGTGCGGACAACGGACCCCTCAGGTCATCGACAGTCTTATAGACTCCGGTCTCGTCTTTCAAAAGTCCCAAATAGATTAGCAGTGCGTTCATAGCTATGAATTCATTTGGATCGCTACGGATCGCACTTTTTAGATACACTTCTAATAAATGATGACAAAGGCTTTGTATAGACTTTTGCTTCAATAATTCAACCCTTTCATTCGATAGTTACCGCTTTCTACCAAAGCCTCGTCTCTAAGTCTGGCCGTCTGGCTATCGAATCCATCGACAGATATTTGGACAAAATGAGAGCACAACTCATTAATATCCGTCGATTCCTATTCAATCATTTCAAAACACATACATATATTAAATCAAACTCTTATTATTATTATTGTTGCAGTATTTCAATCAAACAATCATCAAATGTATTCAGTTATGTGATTATAGTTATACTGTAATAGTTGTCACATTCGTGTCAAAGACATACATTTTCTATTTTTTTGCTCAATTCCTCAATAAGAGTGTCCGAATTGTGTGTCTTTAGCGAAGTATTGGCCACTTCTTCATTCGAATCCTTGTCTTCATCTTCTTCTTCCACATCAGAGCCCTCGTCATTGCTATCAATGTTTCAATCGTTATAATAATAATCAATATTTAATTAAAACTAAATATCTGTTCAGTTCAGTGCAGTACACCCTAACTTTGACTTGCAATTTATTCTACTGGTTAATCAAAGATTGTACTCTTATATTATGATCAGTACTGTATAGTATAATATAAGAGATTTTTTAGAAAAGACAATGAAGAAGTCAACAAAATTCTGCCTTGTTCATTTTAATAATTTTTAAAATAATAAAAAATTAACAAATTGAAACTTAAATATCTCAACAATGAATTTCAATTATATATGAATCTCATTTTGTTCTAATGGATTTTTAAAATACAGTACCGGTACTAAAAATAATCGGCGCCAACACAAATTGACTATTGCACCAAACAATCTAAAAAATGTAATATACTGTACTAATACTGGTATTTCATTTTCAATTGTTTCACACCTTTTTATATAATTTACAGTATATACTGTATATGTATATCTGTTTAATTAAATTGCATACTGTAGACATATACCGGTAATACTTATTCTTGGAATAGAATGCTTGGTGTATAAATTATTAACAATGTTGGTGCAAGCACATCACATTTTAGAATATTCAAATATTGAAAGATCATTCTAAAAAAACAGTTGAAGTTACCAGTATGAATTGAGGCATAACTTGCTAAATTCATATACAGTATGCTTATTTCATTGCGGTCTCTTTACACAATGATCACAAGTGAATGTCAACATATTCTACGGTACATACAGTCTTTGTCTCAAAAATCAATGTTTTAAAAATGGCTCAATTCTCACATTGTATGAGATATTTAGATGACTAACCGATATTTTGGTTAACAATTTACATGACATTCATAAAAGAGTGGTATTAATATGATAATTGTTTAAATAGTATGATAGTATTGAACAGTGAATAGAGTACCTGATGTTGAGATCGATTTGTTGTGTCAAAGCATCCAATAGGGTCTCGACTCCAGTCTCACCGAAATTATTATCATTCAATTCAAGTCTCAATTTGACGTCCGATTCATTACTTTGAGCCAACATTTGGCTACAAGTGATGAGCGCCTCAATTGCCTTCTGACCGGTGATCTCATTACCACTTAAGACGATCTCTTTGATACGTGTTGTGCCGGATGTTTGGATCACGTGTTGGATGGCCTCACAGATGGCAATAGAACCGGCACTCTTGAGCAGACAATCCCCCAAATTAATGCTTTCTATGGACTTCAAGTTGCGAAGAGCCGATGCTATCGCTTTGGATTCACTCTTCAGATTATTGTCGTTAAGGTTCACATTCTTGAGACCTTTGTTAGCATCGAGTGCTCGACAAATAGCTTCAATGCCGGTGCTGTGAATGCCGTTTTGTGGCATTTCTAAGGTCTCCAGAGTTTTCAATCTGTCATTCAATAAAACTTATGTAAAGACAATGCAAATCAAATCAAATCACAATTCAATACTCAGTCAAAGCGTTTCCAATGGCTTGAGAGCCCAAGATCTCCAACCGATTTCTGCCACAAACCAAAGTCTTCAAACTCTTGAGACGAACCAATCCTTTGGCTAATATCTGTCCGCCGCCCACACCTAACCCACAGTTATTTAGTCTCAATGTCTTGAGTGTCTCACAACTATGGCTTTCAAGGAATGGCAGCAGCGAAGGCATGCCTACCGGCCCAATGGCATTGTCGCTCAGGTCCAGAGTGTCCAGTTTGGCGCCACTTAGCATCAACCCAGACGTCATATACAGCAGCACTTCCGGGATCTCACTCTTGAGGCGACCGGTGAACAGGTTATTAAATAAGACGTTCTCCACAAATGGCTGACTCTCCAGACTCTTTGCCAGCTCTTTGGCCGCTTCGACGCCCAGAGTGTTGCCCTCCAGACACAGAGTCACCATTCGTTCACATCCTTCCACGGCCTCCACAATGCAGAGCACGTCCGACACAGAGTCCAACCGCAACATACGGCCCGCAAACGACACCACCGTCTCATCACCACAACTGTCCACAGATGTCATCATCAAAGTCTAGGTCTGTCTGTCTGTCCACAGCAGATATAATGGTATTAATAGTGAAGTCTGTGTATCACTCAAACCTCTTAAACCACAACCAAATCAATGAGTGCTTTAATACCTGACAGGAGTCACAGCACAGGCTATTATATGAATGAGTCAATGAGTCACGTGTTTGTATTGTATTCAAATACAGTATAGCATACTTACAATATGCACATGTACTGTATTACTGTAATACATTCAAATATTCTTACTACTGTACTGTACTGTAGTATGATAGTGCTGTAGTATTACTACTCTAACAATTACCGGAAAATTAGTCTTACTGTAAAATGTTTTTATTACTAAAGTCGTGACAGATGATCAAGATACACTTTCATACATACACTGTATGAAATAGGCATTGAGTAATTATAATACTTTCATACTGTACTGTATTGACAGTAAATAATATTTGGCTCACTATAGGGCAGTGGTTGTACTGAACGGGTGCACACTCTGGGCTTACGTCACAGTGAACTGTAAGGCACTGTAAGAGCAATACAATAACAATACAGTAATACAGTGGATGTGATTGACAACAATGTCTTCATGTATAGAGTGGTGACAACCGGACACGAGTCACACAAACCATGTCTTTGTTAAGGAGTTCCCCCAACTATATCTGGAATACCAATTCAGTGCTGGGAAAGGGTGCTACCGGTGCTGTGTTTGCAGGTATGTACTCATGTAAGCAATGTATGATCGATTGGATCCAATGACAGGTTGTGGTTGTGGTGCAGGTCTTCACAAGCAAACGGGGGATTCAGTGGCAGTGAAGGCATTCAACCACTTGAGTCATATGAGGCCCTATGAGGTACAGAAGCGCGAGTTTGATGTCCTCAGGAAAGTGAATCACATGAATATTGTTAGACTCCTGGCCATCGAGGAAGAGGTTAATTAGATATGATGTTTAAAATGACATGAAGTGAATGATATGAATATACATTGATTTGTCATACATTGTGTTGAATGCAGAATGAGAGTCACCATAAGGTGCTGGTCATGGAGTTGTGCACCGGAGGCAGTCTTTTCAACATTTTGGACGATCCCATCAACTATTATGGACTCGAAGAGAGAGAATTCCTCTTAGTTCTCAAGCATTTAGGTATATATGCGATGGACAGGTGACCAGTTGGCCAGTTGTCTCAATTGATATGATTTGTTACAAATGTTGTGTATGTTGTGGTTATAATAGCTGCTGGAATGAAGCACTTGCGCGACCAGTCCATCATTCATCGCGATTTAAAACCCGGAAATATCATGAAATTCGTGTCCAAAGACCAGACCTCTATCTATAAAGTATATAAATATCTAATAATAACTAATACCTGTATATATATAAGTCTAATATACTGTATATGAATGTGAATACACTATATCTAAAAGCTAACTGATTTTGGAGCGGCGCGTGAACTGGAAGAGGATCAGCAGTTCATGTCTTTGTACGGCACTGAGGAGTATTTGGTACGTAATACTGTTCAGTATAACCCTCTATCTAATTACCGCTATAATCACTGTATGTATAGCACCCGGATATGTATGAGAGAGCAGTGCTTCGCAAGTCTGTCGGCAAGTCATTCAAAGCGAATGTAGACCTCTGGAGTATAGGCGTCACGCTGTACCACATCGCCACCGGTGTCCTCCCTTTCCGGCCTTTTGGTGGTCGCAAAAACAAAGACACGATGTATGCCATGAGTGCCACTATATATTATACATATTGCCGTATACTCTACAACATACAGTACATACTGTACAGTAGAGTACCGGTAATACAATTAGAATGCAGTCGTTTACAGTAATAGGGTATATGTGTTGTTGATTGTGATTCAGGTATAAAATAACCACTGGAAAGGCTTCGGGTATCATATCGGGGGTCCAGTCCACAGAGAATGGAGACATCGAATGGAGTCGAACTCTTCCCAAGTCTTGTTTACTGTCGAGGTATGGGATCAGTCAAATCGATGACTATAGTCTATAGATGACTATAAACAGTGCTCTTATTTAATATATGATAGTTCACTGCAACCATTGGTTACTCAACTATTGGCAGGTCTTTTAGAGTGCGAAGAGAACAGGATGTGGTCTTTCGATAAGTTCTTCAAAAGCGTGACAAACATATTGTCTCACCGAACAATCCATATATACTTTGTTAATACTTTGAAACAACTTGTTCTGTATTGTCACCCCATTGAGAAGTAACCATTTATCTTACTTAAAGACATTTCCGTATTACCGGTAATAATTTAGACCTAAATGTAACGTTTGATTATTAGGATTAATGACTTGAAAAGTCGGATTGAAAACACAATTAAATTGCCGATCAATAATCAGTTAATGATTTGGAATAAGCAACTGATCTCTGATGAGACACTTGTCGCAGATATCCTGACATCTTCAGACTCTCCCATTCTTTTGTTAAATAAGGAATCGACCAAAATTAGAGCTACTTTTTCATTAACTACTGTAAAGTTCCCAGAATTGGTAAACACGGCGACTAATTGTGAAACTGACGCTCAATTGGCTAAAGGTTACTATAAATAACTATACCATATAATTAATTATTGCACAATTATGTACCGTATTATTGTCTAATAATGTCTTTCTACTGTATATGTCTTACAATTGGCTAAAGTGTGCGCTGCGATGGCCTATTCTGTATTACGAAATATTGAAAAGTCTGTTCTTAGCCATCGATTGGCTAACGATACGCCTTCTTATGTCATGTATTTGTCAATATTTAATACGATATTCTGTATTATATTTGCAATGATTGATCCAATATTAATTGCAATATTAACTTTTATGGTCAGGTCTCTAATTGACAGTAATGTCAAACTCTTAACGCACAAACAACAAACGTGTGAACACATGCTCAGCTCATTGAAGCATCAGTTGGACTATTTGGCAGAAATGTATCGCTATTTGTTGTCAATTTTATTGAATTTATTTATATTTTAACGATATTTATAGGAATCGCTATTTAAATCGCTTAATTTCAAGCCTTCCTATTGATGTAGACTTTACTGTAGATAAAGAGCCGGACCAACTGTTTGACAAAGTACTCAACCAATTAATATAACTTATTAAATGACATTATTTTCCTAACCAAAAGGTACTTCAAGACTGGAGCGGTCTGTCTTCAGAAATGGGGACAAAAGTTAATAATTTAAGAGATATTTGGATTAAAGAATCGCAAAACTCTAACTCTAGTATTTTGAACGCACAATCAAAAGCAAAATATTATTGCAATAAAATTCGCGAGAGTTGGCAAACATTACATAAAGACAAACAATCGAGAGGTAGTAAGTTATATGAATAATATGAATGGTGTGCCAAAGAAGTGTTTATAACTTATGTTCATTACTTGTATAGCTCTGAGTCTATCTTTCAATGAGGAACAGTTGCATCAGTTGGAAAAGTGAGTTCATTTGCTACTTATTGGTGCCATTTGTGACATTATAATGAAAATGGTATTACTGTTAGTATTTAGAATTAAATTGGATACCAATTGCAAGAAATTGAATGATTTGTTAACTAAAGAATCTAATGCCGCCATTACTATAATTGCTGAAAAATTAGAGGATTGGTATTCGTAAGTGACTTGATGGCATATTATGCTCATACTTTTATTACACTTACCGTACTACCGGTATAATTTTAGTACACTTTTATCTATAGGGGCGCTCAGGTGACAATTGTTCAATCGGAATGCCTATTGAATCTTATTTCAGGATCATTTATGACTGATTGTGATAAACTTGAAAGTAGTATCAAAAAAGTATTAGAATTAAATTAAAGAATATAATGAGAATTTGTTGATTGCAATGGTTTTGTGCTCATATGTCAGGCTAAAGAGGATCACAGAAAGATATGGCAAACAATTCTCAATAAATTGAATGTCACGCACGAGAATGATGTCTCGTATACTAACCATCAGACCTATCAAACCACCAATTTTGGAGCCAATATTATATCGAAATTGTCTCCAATTGTTGCCCAAGAGTAAGACTTGACTCTAATAGTGTTTGTTTTTTTTTGATGAATTAATTTGAATATAACTTAATTTGGAAAGACTGGAGAATTTGAAAGAGTCGACCAAAGCTGTTAGGATTGCAATGGAAGAGAACAAGTCTTTAATGGCTGAGTATGTCTTAGACTTATATGAGATTACCTGCAATTGAATGTTACAAACAAGTCATTTATAAATATAAAACTTTATTTCTAGATTTGAATCGCTGGCTATCGGATCGGGAAACCGAGAATTATATTGATTAAAAACTGATTATTGTATCGATTATTACGATTATTACAGTAAATAAATAGATTTGTATGTTTAAATGATTGATTATTAAGTTATGAAACATTGAAAGTTGCAGATTTGTGTTGATTGAGGCGATTGTATGATTGTATGGAAGGTTTACCCACTCCTATAACTCCTTATAGAGAAATTGTTGAATACAAGTCATTCAAAAGTCTTATCCAATAGTCTTAAGGCTGTGCTGTAGTGCCTCTCTATCTCTCTATAGCTGTAGTGAATAGGAATAGAGAGGGAATGCGTTCTTAGAGTTGTCCGCATTGAGAGCATTGAGACACTGCTTTTGGCATTGGTTTTGGCAAATTGGCAATTGGCGTATACCATACCATATACCATACATATATACATACATACATACTCTACTGTCTACTGTCCCGCACCAAAGTACTGTACTCTGATTGTGAGAAAGTTCATGGCTTGTAATGTTGTCTATTTTGGGAGTGGTTCTAATGCCTGTAATGCTCTATTCTGCTGAATAAATCACCAATTATTTGACTATCAATACCAAGGTGTAATGTCTCCTCATTCACATCGCTTTATATTCTTATATCTCATATATTTGTCAACATTTGTCCGTAAGTTTCAATTGCTTTTTATATGTTCGAGTTATCATAACTTTTATAACATTACAGTACTGTTAAGCACTATTTTTAATACGGTATTATACCGGGTATAATATATTGCAAGTTTTTATAAGTTGTAGGCCCAACTTCCGAAAATGCCTGCCAAATTTTCGGAAGTCCAGCCGAGTATATGTTATATTGTGGAGAATATTGCAATTTATTTCAATTCTAACGGAAGGATATCATTATTTGATATGCAATGCCAATGACAGTCAAATTAATTTGAATGCATCGAGTTGGTCTAACAGTTTGATTGGTTGGCTATACATTTGAATTAGAAACTACTGATTTGAATGACAATTAGTATTAGATTATAGTGAGAGAAGAACCATATGTCCAGACTTTTGACACAAATATGTGCCGATATTGAGAAACTTGACTCTTGTGTAGAGCTGTAGAGTTGTGTGAGTGCTGTAGATGTTTAGAGATAACTTAGAGCACTAAATCTCATTTCGTATACTGTATTACCCTGTATTGTACAGTACAGTGTACTTCATACTGTATGGGATACCAGTTTTACTATAACTGTAAGAAGTTTTCTTTCTACTCTATACGCCCACACCTACTATAAGACTAATATAGGAACAAACTTTGATCTCCAAGTCCATTATTACAGCACAAAATCCCAAAACGTTAATATAATTCAATATATTATTTAATAAAATTTATTTTTAAAAATGTATTAAAAATATATTAGAATATATATTATTTAATAATAAAAACTGACAATACATGTGATTCTGTTAATTGTTTGTAATTCTAAAATATAGCTAAATATTAAGTTAGTTTCAACATAGTCTAGATGAAAGTACACAAAATTTAAACGTACAGTATCATTGTTTAGATCATTCAAATTTTGTTTGTGCTATTACTATCTGGACAGGTTTTTGGTCTAAACAATCTAGGTAATTAATTTGACCAGACCACAGGAATAGTTTGAAAACACGCAATTAAGACTAATATGATATTGTATATAAAGACATATTAGTAATATCCTAAGATTCTATGATATATTGTATTGTATGTAATGTATTTTGAATAGTCCTAACACTTAGACCTAGGGCAATATTGAACAATGAAATAAATGAAAGATATAAATATTGATATTGGTTGGAAAAAATATTAATAATGGTAAATATGATTTCAGTGAGAAATTGACAACCAATATACCTCATGAGTTATTAAAATAAAAGTCAAAATCTATGATTAATATTAGACTTAGATTATTAATATAATAAATGATAATATCTTGAATTGATTTGGCAGTAATATCGTGTCAAAGGTCACGACAACGGGACGATAGAAGGTTTGATGACGACAGGAATGGTATGCATTGATTTGTTGGATTTTAATTATTTATAAAGGTTGGGTTTTAACCACAATCCAATAAGTATAACAAAATCTTGAGAATAATGAGCTAATAAGTTACTTTAATAAATTTGGTGGCGGTTATAGTGGTATGCAAATGTTAATATCTTTAATTAATTGTTAATAATACATATTATTGGTAATAGTTAGGTTATCTAACAACTATTAATATTTCAAAACTTTTTAATATGAAGTTTAAATTTTAAATTTTAAACTCAAACTCAAACACTACAGAAAATGGTTAATATATTAATCACTTATTCGAAGACTAAAGACTGCGGTTTATCAATGGATTATCAAAAATAAGAAAAATCACCAATATGTTAATTCAAACTGAAATACCCGCATAACTTCATTTCAATTAACAAATTACAAAAAATAACATCAAATTAAATAAAACATTACTTAACTGGTAAGCAATAAAAAGAATAAAATGAAGAATGTTAAGTATAAACTAAACTGTGGTGATGGAAGTGGACATTATGTGAATGATATCTAACCAAATGTGGGATTAAAACTTAATGTCTTGTAAAGGAAGAGTTTAATTGAGAATTATGTCAAAACGAAAGGACTGGAAGCACCCGGAAATATACAGAACCCTCCAGTTGTTGACAACTCATATTTCGATAGTTCTGGTAGTAGTCAACAACAGGTGACTAATAATCCTCAAAGATTTGACTGGACTTCGAGACGAAGAGGTAAAGTTTGCATCAAATGCTCAATACTTGGGATCTCATAATAACCTAATATAATATATGTATAAATCTATATTTTCATGAATTAGTCTCGCAATCAAATAGTGGTCGCGATTCACAACAGCCCTCACATGAGAGAACAGTGTATCGGCGAACCAATACAACCCGAAGTCCCGGTGCGCGTAACGGAACAAACGGCTCGTCATTCCGTCGCCGCTATGAATCCCTTTATAACACCAGTGATGACTCGCAAAGCCCTTCCAGACATTCAATATCTTCATCCATTGACGCACTATTAGGCAATCAGTCGAGTCCTGACTATAGAGGGGGTAGTTATACATATCAGACCCGTCGATACAACACAAGTGTTGGGACAAGTCGTTCAGGTTCTGTAAACGGACAGCCATTCCAGACACCAATACTGTGGCAGAACAGAACGTGGCACTGGTCTACCAATAGGACTCGTGAATACGACCCTGATTTAGACGGGACTACACTTCCGCCGCCATATCAAATCGATAGACACGAAGAATGGGATGGAACTGACATTATTAGATACCCAACCGATGACCGCCACCCTCTGGGTAGACACCATAGCATACATACAAACATTACATTAGTTCTCATTATTTCATAATTAGTTGAATAATTTAAATGATTAATTGATTGAAACACAATTATATTGATAACAATGTTTATTACAATATTTACCATTGAATGCATTAGCCATCTATGGGTCGGGTCGTTGTGATGAACTACAGGCCTGTTATCCGGCGACAGGAAATCTGCTGATCGGTAGGGAAGAGAAACTGATGTCGTCGTCAACATGTGGTCTCCAGAAGATGGAGAGGTATTGTATTGTAAGTCATTTGAAGGAGAAGAAGAAGTGCTTTTATTGCGATTCGAGACCACAAAACAAGAACAACCCTCGTCTCTATCACGGCATCGAAAACATAGTGCAGAGGTTTGTGACGAGAGTTGTGGACATATGATGAGATGATGAGGTGAATGACTGATGTGTTGTGGTGTGTATGGGTAGGATTGGTCGCAAGCGGAAGCAGACCTGGTGGCAGGCGGAGAACGGCGCCGAACACGTCTCCCTTGGCTTCGACTTGGAGGCCGAGTTCCACTTCACTCACCTCATCATCACATTCAAGACGTTCCGTCCGTCAGCGATGCTTATCGAGAGATCTCATGACTTCGGCCGCACGTGGAATATATATCAGTACTTCGCATACGATTGTGTCGACTCTTTTCCAGGGGTTCCGGTGGGTCCGCGACAGAAGATAAGTGATGTGGTCTGTGATTCACACTATTCTGGTGTCGAGCCATCGACTGAAGGAGAAGTTATTTTCCGAGTGCTTCCGCCCAACATCCGCATCGATGACCCCTACAGTCCCGAAGTGCAGAACTTATTAAAGATGACAAACTTAAGGATCAATTTCACAAAATTGCATAATTTGGGCGACAATTTGCTTGACTCCAGAGATGAGATTAAAGAAAAGTACTACTATTCCATCTATGATATGGTGGTGAGGGGCAGCTGTTCCTGTTATGGACACGCGAGCAGATGTATTGCAGACCCGGGACAAGAGACCATTCCTGATATGGTGTACGGGCGCTGTGAGTGCACTCACCACACAAAAGGTCTTAATTGCGAACAATGCGAGGACTTCCACAACGACGTGCCCTGGAAACCGGCCATTGGACGCCAGACCAACGCTTGCAAAAGTAATCATTTGACACACTTTTGGCACAATCTATCTATAATTGAATAACCTTTGTAAATGTGTGATAGTCTGCAACTGCAACAGTCATGCCAAGAGGTGTCACTTCGACCCGGCTGTATACGAGGCCACCGGCAAAGTGAGTGGTGGTGTATGTGACGATTGTCAGCACAACACAATGGGTCGCAATTGTGAGCAATGCAAGCCTTACTTCTATCGTGATCCGGGTCGTCGTATTGAAGACCCCTATGTTTGTCAGCGTATGTATTGATGGCAACAATCACTCCATATATACTGTATATAACTTTCAATGTCTTACGCATAGCTTGTGATTGCGATCCGCGCGGGTCTCTGGACGACGCTCTGTGTGATGAGCACACGGATGTTGGGTCGGCACTGGAGGCCGGGAAGTGTCACTGCAAACGCAATGTCGAAGGCCGTCGTTGTGACCGATGTTTGCCCGGCTTCTGGAACTTTGTTGAGTCTAATCCTGATGGATGTGAAGGTATGTCTGCCAATTGATGGCGTTTATTACTACAGTGAATATTACTAATACATTAATTGGTTATTTGATAGCATGTACTTGCAATACATTGGGAACAGTAGGCAATCTGGGCTGTAATGTTCTCAATGGCGACTGTGTCTGCAAACGCAATGTCGTGGGACGGGATTGCAATCAATGTGCTGTAAGTCTATTATAAGTTTTATACCAATAAATGCTAAATTATCGACAATTTGGTGCATTGTTAGCCCGATTACTATGGACTTAATGATGATGACGAAGGCTGTAAGGCATGTGACTGCGATCCGGGCGGTGCTTATGACAATAGCTGTGATGTGATGAGCGGACAATGCAAATGCAGACCTCACGTCACTGGAAGACGTTGTGATACTCCCGACCAAAACTTTTTCGCTCCATATCTTGATTACGTTATATACGAGGCAGAAGTGGCCAAAGTTTCGCCCGACGCTCAGGTGACGCCCCGTGAGCCACACGGCGACCGAATGGTCACGTGGACAGGACTGGGCTTTGTTCGCGCCTTCCCGGGAACTAGACTTGAGTTCGATGTGACAGATATTCCCGAAACTCTTGATTACGATATAATAGTGAGATATGAACCACAATTGGCTGGAGTGTGGGAAGGGGTTCGAGTTGTCATAGACAGCCCATACCCCACAGACCCTCGCGGACCGTGCAATAGGTCACTAATCCAGGAGAACACACGGACCACTTCATTACCAGCAACTGAACGCTATGTCGTTGTCAGCAATGTTTGTCTTGAAAGAGGAAAACAATATAAGATTAAACTTGAAATCAATGAATACGATAGAAATATAGACAGAGAGAGCGCTTCCATACTCATCGATTCGGTTAGCATTTCGTTGATGTGTTGTTGTATATAAACTAATTAATCCTAATCTCATACATAGGTTGTAATAATTCCTCGAATGGAAAACATTGCGTTTTTTAAAGGAAATCAAATCAATGAATATAAGAGACAAGAGTTTGAAAGATTCCGTTGCGGTTCTTCATATTATTCAGTGACCAGATCTCCAGAACCACCAGAGATTTGTCGCAAATACTTATACAGCGTTGGTTTCTATGTGTTTGGCGGCGCTTATGGTTTGCTTTCTTTTTGTTCATTTTGTATATCGTATTGATTATGATTGAAAATACTAATCGACATCCTACTTCTTATCGGAAATAGGATGTAATTGTGATCCGACTGGTTCTGTGAGCACTGTGTGTAATAATTTGGGCGGTCAGTGCCAGTGCAGGCCTAATGTGTTTGGAAGGCATTGCGACCGATGTAGACCCGGATACTATGGATTTAGTCCCGAAGGCTGCAAACGTATGACATTCAATTGCATAATATGCATATATTATATGAATATATGATTGAATCGGTTAAAGATTAGCTGACTAAATCATTCACAGACAGGCGTTAGAGCTGGGTCAACTTATTAATAATATCAGTTATACTTTCATATAAACTTATGTAGATTAGCACATGAATCAATTTTTATTTTAAACTAATAACGACTGTGAATGATTTAGTCAGCTTAAGTTTAAAATGGTTCATTAGTAATGCATTGGTTTTCCCATTTAGTATACAATATTATATTTAAAAGTTCTAAATCTGATCGATTCAATCATATAAGAGTATAATTTGACTGTAATAATACTGAATTAAGAGAATACTGACAATTAAAACATTTGACAGCATGTGACTGCCATAGCGTGGGATCACTGGATAACTTTTGTGACACACAGTCAGGTCAGTGTAAGTGTCGCGCGGGAACATACGGTCGCCAATGCGATGAATGCCAACCGGGGTATTGGAATTACCCGAACTGCCAGCGCTGTGACTGCAGCGGACACACAGACTTATGTGACTCGAAGACAGGCGTCTGTATTAACTGTCGTGACTTCACAACCGGTTCGCGATGTGAACGATGCGAACGTGGATACTATGGCAGTCCATTGATGCTGAACGAGGCATCGATCCCTTGCAGGGCCTGTCCCTGTCCGGGAATAGCAGGCAGTGGTATGAGTCACGCGGAGTCGTGTGATTTGGATGGTCGGACCCAGAATGTGATCTGTCATTGTATGAGTGGTTATAGCGGCGAACGTTGCGATCGCTGTGATAACAACTATTTCGGCGAACCGGCCATTCCTGGGGGTCAGTGCCGTCAGTGCCAGTGCAGCAATAATATAGATATCGCACAACCGGGCAATTGTGACGCTCGGACTGGCGACTGCTTGAGATGTCTGTACAATACTGCCGGTGCTCATTGTGAAGTATGCAAACCTGGTTTTTGGGGCGAAGCTGCCCAACAGCAATGCATTGAATGTGTTTGCAATCCATTGGGAACCGATCCCAACGCTGGTCCATGCGATCACACGACAGGTCAGTGTCCATGTCTTCCCAACGTGTTGGGCAAGTCATGCGACAGATGTGCTGTCAATCATTGGAAGATCGCTAGCGGAGAGGGCTGTGATGCCTGTGATTGCGACCCTCAGGGCTCCTATAATCTCAAATGCAACGAATTTGATGGTCAGTGTCATTGCAGGCCTGGACACGGAGGTCGCAAATGCGATGAATGTCAGCCTAACTTTTGGGGTGACCCTAGGGTTCAGTGCTATCGTAAGTATTTGGTTTGTAATTGTGGTGTTGGTAGAGATTGTAAGTAATAACCGTTTATACCTGGCTCATTTGAATGCTTAGAGTGTGAATGCAATCCGTCGGGTTCATCGACTCTGCAGTGTTTGCGGAACAACGGCTCGTGTGTATGCGTTGACGGCATTTCTGGTCCGCGTTGTGACCGCTGCGCCCGTGGCTTCACCGGCAAAGCACCGCATTGTGATCCCTGTGGCGAGTGCTTCGACAACTGGGACCTAACCATCAGTACATTGAAGGATCACACACTCAGACTTCTGGACTCTGCGAGACGTATCAAACAGACGGGAACTACCGGTGCCTATACTACAGAGTTTACGAATATAGACAATAGTCTTAACGAAATCGAGTCAATACTCTCGGGTCAGAACATAACAGAGTCCGACATCACAACCATCGAGGAAATGATCGAACAGTTGAGACGAAACTTAACCGAAACCCAGAATATTCTGACGGGATTTGAGGGCCAAATGGATGGCATAAACAAACGGATATTAGCGGCCAATCTAGCGCTGTCTGATTTGAGACGGAAGTCACAGGACCTGCAGTTCCAGGCGGACGCCCTCCGCGAGAACGCCACTAAACTGCAGGAGGCGAACGTCGAGGGGGCCTTCAATATTACCAGAGATGCCCAGAGGAGGAGTCGTGCCTCCGAACAGCGCATCCGTGAGACAATGCCCACACTCTATGAGTCCGAACGTAAGCGCAGGCAAACGGAACGACTTCTGGATCAAGTGGCCGGTCGTTATAACGCCTCAATTGGTGATAACGAGGCGTCACTCAACGAAATATCACGAAAGATATCACTACTGGAGGACAAGATTCCCAATATTAATGAAATGGTGTGCGACGGACGCGGAAGCGTAACCACATGTGACTCCCTATGCGGTGGCGCCGGGTGTGGCAAATGCGGGGGTTTGAGTTGCACTAAAGGGGCCGCAACTAAGGCCGACAATGCCCTCGAGTTGGCCACCAAAGCAGACGGTGTGCTCAAAGACAAAGAGAAGACTGCGAGGAATGAATTGAATGGTATATTAGAAGCCCGACATAAATCAGAAGAAGCTTTAAGAGAAGCAAAGGCGGCATACGATAGAGCCATAGCAGCCAAGAACACCTCTGAAGAGACCACTCTTGATGTGCAACAACTGCTTGACTCCATCGAGACATTTCTCGGAGAAGAGGCCTCACGGCCCGCAGAAATACGAACAATGGCTGAGGAATGTCTGGCACTGGAAATATCTCTTAGACCAGAACAGATACAGGAGTTAGCAAAACAAATTAATGAGACAATTGCCGGACTCACTGACATCACAAAGATTTTGATGGAAACGGCAGGAGATTTGGCGAACGCTAATCGTCTCAAAGACAGAGCCGACAGAGCGAAGTGAGTGCTCGAGTCAATCACTTTGAGTTCATTGATTTGAGCGAATGTTTCAATTTATATACTGTATTACAATCATTCATACACTCATTCAGACAAAGAGCCGATGGAATCCTTGGTCAGGCAGAGGAGGTTCAAAATGCACTAAAAGAAGCAATTGATGCACAAAGAAAGGCAGAGGCGGCCATCGCTAAAGCCAACGGTGACATCAATAGCGCCACTGGAGATTTGGGACAAGTATTGAACACGAGAACCAGTGTTGTTGTTGTGGCTAACAATACAATCAATTGAATGATTGCTGCGTTTAGATCGAGAGCGAGACTCAGTCGGCGGCAATGAATGCAGAAAAGGCCGGTTCTGGTATCAGTGATCTCCAGAAGCGTTTGGATGAGTTGAAGAAAAAGTTCTCATTGAATGAGATCGAAATGAGGAAAGCAGACAACGAGGCCAACATTGCGGCCAAGAATGCCGAAGAGGCGGGACAGGTATGTTATGACTTCTGCCAATCGTTCACTTATTATGTGATTCAATGAAAAGGCGGCCCAAGAGTTAGAGCAGCGGTTCAATGAGGCGTCGCGTAAACTGGAAGACAAAGCCAGAGCCAGTGGTGCTGTGAAAGAAAGGGCTGAAAACTTGAGGGAAAGGGCTAAGAAGTTGGCAGAAAACGCCAGCACTAAACTGGGGGTACTTCAGGGTAAGTCTATCCTACTTATTACGGTATAACATATCTCATACCATATTATTGGTAAATATGATGCGATTGGTTGCAGAAATGGAAGACGGATTCCATGAGAATGAAAGGCGTCTGAATGAGTCCCAGAAGATAATCGATGAACTCAACAAATCAATGGGTCTTCACTTGATTTACATCGAGGAGAAGTCAACCTTTTATCGCAATTGTCAGGGATGACAGCCATCACAGCCTTACAGTGCAATCGATAACTTAATGAATGTATAGTTTATTACAAGTGTTTAACTGTTATTAAAGATAAACTCAATTAATGGTCTTTTGTATTAATAATTTCTTTTATTTAATTATTTGAAATAAGTGCCAAAAATAAGACACAAAACACTAATTATTTAGTCTTTTTAAATACAAGAATCTCATAACAAATGTAATCAAAGTCTTACTTTTTTAAATAAACTATAGACTTATAAACCCTAATTAGAGACTTACTGTGTATACAGTATACCGTTTATACCATCTATTAAATGTATACTATATACCGTATATGGCATATATGGCATCATTGACACCGATGGCAATCAACAGCTCTTATAGATAGCAGTCGTGATGTCTTTCGTGGTCTTAATCAGGATTTGTCTGTCAAACAATCAAACAGTGAGTCAATGTCTGTCCACTCCCTCCCACTCCCTGTCCACTGCCTCACCTCTTATCGGATTCGATGCTCACAATGGGATTACTTGAGTCCAACTTCTGGGCCAACGATGCAATCGTGGCTACGGTTCCACTACTCCTCTCATTTGCCTCACCACTAGCTATACAGACAAAGCCATGACATGAGTTGATCCCACCTTATGATGGCATACATGACATACCTGTGAGGCAGAGTCCGTTGTTGTCGACGCACAGAAAGCCACAGACCTTGTCGTTGTTGAGCCTGTAGTGCAGTAATCAATCAGTTATTCATAACAATTGGTAATCAATACACGAATGCATGTCATGTCCAGACAGACAGACAGACAGTCAGTCACTTACGCCTCGGCGCTAATGTCTTTCAGTTGTTTCTCCATTCATTCGCTTCTTATTGTGGACTGATTTGTGACAATACTGTAGTGCTTAAGACGTTCACAGCATTCACTGTCATATGAATGAGCAAAATGTTCACAAATGTCATACGACGGCAATGCACTCGTTATATAGTATTCATAATAATAACTATTAATATTTCAATATTACGGCATTAATGGTTCAATTACTGTAACACCAATTCAAGTAATAGTATTATTATTGATGATCAATCATCACACTGTACAAAAGTATTCATATCATATGATACAGTACTGTAACTCTGAAAATGTCCTCTACTATTCCGCCATCTATTGTGTGATTGAGTGCTATATGTTGTCAAACAAACCCTAATGTGTTGTGAATACAGATCTCATTTGCAATCATAACACGAATTATAGGATTTATATATGAATTACAAGTAAATTAATTAGTGATACAAAAGTAATTGTGAAGTCAAGTGAATGGCAATGAAGAGTGGCTTTACTCGCATAGAGCTAAACAAGAGTGTGTGGGAAGTGCCCGACCGTTACCTCTCACTGGAACCGGTCGGGTCGGGAGCCTATGGCCAGGTGTGGTGAGTGTCCCTCCACTTCAGACACTATTGTCACCCAAAGCTTACCGTTTATATCATTTGCTCAGCGCTGCCATCGAGTCTTCGCGCAACCAGAGGGTGGCCATCAAGAAGTTGAACCGTCCGTTCCAGTCGGCCATTCACGCCAAGAGGACGTATCGCGAACTCAGACTCTTGAAGCACATGAACCACGAGAATGTATGTCTCTTTGCGTGGTGTGTGTGTTGTCTGTCTAACTGTGTAACCGTTGCTCAGGTGATCGGACTGTTGGATGTGTTCACGCCGTCCACTACTTTGGATGACTTCCAAGACGTATATTTGGTGAACCACTTGATGGGTGCGGACCTGAATCGCATCATAAAGACGCAGCGTCTGAGTGACGATCACGTGATGTTCCTCGTCTACCAGATCCTCAGAGGTCTCAAATACATCCACTCGGCGGGGATTATACACAGAGTCAGTCCATACATACATATGTCTGTCATATGAGGAGTTAGTTATTCAAAGAAAGAGTAGAGTTTACTGTTAGCTATAAAAACTGTAAAGCAAAACACAAAACACATTTTACCGCTAAGACTATGGTTTACTGTAACGATACAGTTTGTATGCCATCCTTATATAATAGCTAAACTCTACGCCCTTTCTTTGAATAACTCCTCATATGTATATACGGTATGTGTGAACATCACTCCAACACTTTGCCTTTGATTAGGACCTCAAGCCAAGCAATATAGCCGTCAACGAGGACTGTGAGCTCAAGATCTTGGACTTCGGATTAGCGCGACAGACAGAGGCCGAGATGACCGGATATGTGGCCACCCGATGGTACAGAGCACCAGAGATTATGCTTAATTGGATGCATTACAACCTTACAGGTAGACTATACACACGGGACAATACTCCTGTGTGTGTGTGTGTGTATGTGTGAGAGAGAGAGAGAGAGAGAATTACTATTACGATTACTATTATGATTATAAGTATCGCATAATTCATTAGACAAGTGGTGTGATACAGTAATTATATACTGTTTTGAATATTGAATTTTAGTGGACATCTGGTCCGTGGGTTGTATTATGGCTGAACTCATCACTTCCCGCACACTCTTTCCCGGAACTGACCGTAAGTTTGATCGATTACACTCTTGAAGGAAAGGTTGAATGAATGATGAATTGATTGCTTAAGATATCGATCAATTGCTTCGTATAATGAATTTGTGCGGAACTCCGGACGAGGAGTTCATGAAGAAGATCACATCAGAAGAGGCGCGTAATTACATCCGAACCCTTCCTATCATGAAGAAGAAGAACTTCAAAGAGATGTTCAAAGGAGCCAATCCTGACGGTATGTTTGGCAATAGCTTTGTAATTGTGTTTTGTAATCATAATAAG